TGGGGATCAAATTGAAGACTTTGCATGTTAGTCAAGCAACTTACCAACGGAGCTACATCCCAGCCTATTACTCAAACTTTTATTTATAGGCTTTGTATGTGTACACATGTGCATGGGTACGTTTAGAGGCCAAAGGTCGTGGCTGTTTTTTTGAAACAGGGTCTACCTTGTTTTTTGCAACATGTTCTCTCACTGAACCTGAAGTTCTCTGATTGGCTAGACTAGCTGGCCAGCAAGCGCCAAGGATCCTCCCATCTCCACTGCCCCACTTAGGTTACAGACCTGCCACCACTTTTACAAGAGTGCTAGGAATCTGAACTCAGGTCCTCATGCTTGTGTGGTAGAGACTGAGCCTACTGAGCCACCTCTCCAGCCCAGCCTCTTTTTTTAAGGCAATTAAATCTAACAGATTTGTAGGGTTCCCTGGATGTGTTGTCGTATGATGCATGGAGGGTTTTAGGCTAGAATTCCCTGTTACACATTGGGATGTTAATGGTGAGTTCATGGAGCATGTTAGTGTAATCTTTACTTGTGAAGTTGTCATGTAGTGAGCACTGGTAAGCACTTAGAGATGTGCTTTCATGACGCCATTTCCTGGGCTTCCTTATATTCTTGAATGTAGCCAGCATTCACAGGGACCTCATAGAATTCTTTATAGTCATCTGCTCTTGTTATGAATCTTAGGTGTTTTAAAGCTCATTCAAATTCTAAGTTGATGTCTCCATGTTAACCAAAAAATTCAATACTGGGCTGGATAGATGGCTCAGCAGTTAAGAGCACTGACTGCTTTTGCACAGGACCTGGGTTCGATCCCCAACACCCACATGGTGGCTAACAACCATCTGTAACTCTAGTTCCAGGGGAGTCCGACACCTTCTTCTGACCTCTGTGGGTATTGCATGACATGAATGCACTTAAACATATGCAGGCAATACACTCATACACATAAAAATAATAAATAAAATATTTTTTAAAAATTCAATATGCCGGGCGTGGTGGCGCACGCCTTTAATCCCAGCGCTCGGGAGGCAGAGGCAGGCTGAGTTCAAGGACAGATGGGGCTACAGGGAGACCCTTTCCCAAATACATTGCTGCATCTGAATTATAACAAACGAAGACAGTTTGACTTTTGCAGTGCATTCTCATACTTCTTACTTAAACAAATCAATACTAATTTATGTAACATGTACCAAAAAAAAAAAAAAAAAAAACTTTTAAAACAGTTTTAATGAATTGAGACCCAAGGCTAGAAAAATGACTCTGTGGTTAAGAACACTTATTGCAGGGCTGGAGAGATGGCTCAGCGATTAAGAACACTGACTGTTCTTGCAGAAGATCCACGTTCCAATGCCAGCACCCACATGGCAGCTAAGAACTGTCCCTAACTCCAGTTCCAGGGGATCCAACAGCCTCTCCTGTCCTCCGCAGGCATTGCATGACATGGGTGCACTTACCTACATGCAGGCATAACACTCATACACATAAAATAAAAATAATTAAAACAAAAAACAAAACAAAACAAAAAACCACTTACCAGCGAGCCCAGATTCTGTTCCCAGTACCCACTTGGTGGCTAACACCTCTCCTTAACTCCATTTCCAGGGATTCTGATGCCCTCTTCTGGATTGCGTGGACAGCAGGCATGTGTGTGGTACACTTGCAAACATGCAGGCCAAGTGCTTATACACATAAAATAAAAATTAAATCAAAAAAAAAAAAAAAGAAGAATTGAGACCCATTTTGTCATTTGTTATTTAGAATGCGATTGTCTATTTGCAACCTGCCCTACAGGAAGTCAGTTGCTTGCTGTGCTCCTCTGTGACAGAATAGAAGTGGCATTTGCAAGATTGAGGTAAAGGTGAGGGCTCCAGGTCTCAGCACAGCCTGTTGTTAGGACCCAGATACTAGAGGTGCTCCTGGAAGTCTGTGCTGACCCAGTAAAGGACTAGGTGTTAGCTCTCCCCCTCCTCTCTGATGACATGCTTAGTCTAACACCCTTGACCATAAAGACATCCATTGTATATTGGGTTTTTTTCTGCTGATTTAGATTTCTAGTGTTGAACTATGAAGTCTCCTTTCTCAGGCTGTAAATCTAGATGAAATGATCAGATTCCCTTAGTTCCAGGAATTCTTTGGGAAATGTGAGTGCCGGTCAGCTGGGCAGATAATTGGCAGCTCCTTTTTGCTACAGTGCTGGGAGTTGTGAAGAAAGGGTTGTGAAACTGGACTTTGGTCGTCTTCTTAAAAAAGCCCATGGGAGGGGCTGGGGAGATGGCTCAGGGTGAAGAGCACTGGCTGCTCTTACAGAGAACCTGGGTTTGGTTTCCAGCACCCATATGGTGACCAGTAACTGTCCATAATTCCAGTTCCAGGGAATCTGATGCTCTCTTCTGGCCCCGTGGTCATTCCGTGCATGTGGTACACCTGCCTACACACAGGCAAAACACTCATACACATAAAATTAAAATCATAAACAAACTAACAAACAATCTCATGGTAGCTGGGCATGGTGACACACACCTTTAATCCCAGCACTCAGGAAGCAGACAGGTGGATCTCTATGAGATCAAGCCTAGCCTGGTCTACATAGTGAGTTCCAGGCCAGCAGGGGCTACAGGGAGACTTTGTCCCAGGAAAAGAAAACAGACAAAACAAAAGTCTTATGATACAGGAATTCCTTCACAACTTCTTATTCCCTCGTTCCTTTTAAAAAATACATATTTTATTATTTTTGTGTATATGAGTGTATTGTCTGCACGTATGTGATTGCACCCATGTCATGCAATGCCACAGAGGTCAGAAGAGGGCTTTGGATTCCCCTGGAACTGGAGTTAAGGACGGTTTGTAGCCACCATATGGGTGCTGGGAATTGAACCCAGGTCCTCTGCAAGAGCAGTCAGTGCTTTGAACTGCTGAGCCATCTCTCCAGCCCCTCCCTTGTTCTTTTTTTTAAAACTATACTGTTTTTGTTGAAGTCTTCAGATTCTTCTGGAGTTACTGTTGTGAGAGAAGGTTCCAGAATAAATAACTGCCAATAAACTAATCATGTATATGTGAGTGTATTGCCTGTATGCTGATGTGAGAAAATGAACTCAGGACCAAGGACTTGAATGAACAGCTCATTGCCCTCCGAGTCAGCCTAGATGGGGGGTGACTACATGCATATAGCCTATCTGAATCGGGGCAGATTATTGTTCCACAGTGGAAGAAAGTAGGATCTGTTTTGTGTAATCCATGTTCCTGCTATATGTCTCTTCCTTTGAATAAGTGTGCATGGGTTTAGGAAAGGTATTTGGTAGGGCAGGCTGACGATTACTGATAGTCACACGTTACTCCTACTGTCTGTGTGAAATGACTCTACCTGTGACCCATGGGCATAGCCTGATGATTTGAGATTATCTACAGAGGACGTTGCACACTTTTGAGTAGCTGTATCTTGAGTTAACCAGATTTCTGTCAGAGCAACTGTGGGATCAGAAATAAAAATGTATAGTTTTTCACACTGAAACATCTTTATTGGCCCCTGTGTCTCTAAGGACAGGCTGATGGTCACATCTCTCCTTGTACCTGTCAGGTCTCAACTCTTTCTGTCATTCAGTCTTTTTGGTTTGTAGTTGGTTCCTAAACTGTCCAGTGTGTATCAGAAAGGATGTGACTATTAGTGACTGAGGATGGAGGTATCTTTGCAACCTTTGTCTCCCAAGGTTTGGCCTATGTGGTAAAATTGGATCCACCTTACTGGAAAGATCTTAGGAATCTACAGAAAAATAATGAGAATAACCCACTTCAGGGTGGAAGTTTGTTATTCAGGGTGCAAAATTAATCAGGGGCAAAGACTTAGTTGGGTTTGGTTAACCTTTATTCATTTGTTTTGTTTACTCATTTCAACAAGATTGGTTGGTCTGTAGGCATGGTAGATACAGAGATGAATAAAATATAGCCTTTGCCTTCAACATGGGCACAGTCTAGATAAGGATTCTTTCTACACACAGCACTGTGGGACTTAGTCAACAAAGATGCAGAGCTACCAAGGTTCGGAGGAAGGGAAGATGTGGAGAGACACAAGGTCATGGTTTCACCTGTCACAGAAAGGCCTGAGGTTGAATTGAAAACTCATTTCAGTACAAAACTTATGCTCAAATGTTTACAATAGAGTTATTCAGAATTACCGAAACTTGGAAGTAGCCAAGATGTCATTCGGTGAGTAATTGAAATGGGACATGCAGACAACAGAATACTATGCAGCAGTTACAAAAAAAGGGGGGGGGGAGCTCAAGACAGGGAAAGGGTCTGTAATTGTCAAGGAATTAGGAGAGATCAAGAGGCAGAGCACAGAATATTTTGGACGGAAACGCATTTCATCTAGTGAAAACTGTTCTGTACACTACTGTAGTAGTGGAGACTCGCCTGTATATATTGATCGACAACCAGCACAAAGCCGACCACAGTATAAGCTCTGCCCCCTAGGTGGTAGTCATGTCTCAGTGTTGGCTTAACAATGATAACAAACCTTTGACACAGCTATATGGCGTTAATAAAATAAGATACTGCACATGGTAGGGAGAGGAACTATTTCCTGCTCTCTTTTCAGCAAACCTGAAATGACTTGGAAATACAGATGCCAGGTGTGCCAGCATGTGCCTGTCATCCCAGCTCTCAGGAGGCTGAAGCAGGAGGATTGTGAGCTCAAGGCCAACCTGGGCCACACAGTAACACTCTGTCTCAAAACCAAAAAGAAGTGGCAAATACAGTCTGTTATTGGAACAGATAAGGTGGTGTGGCTGGTTTGGAGTGAGGAAAAAATGGCAGAAGTATAGTCTGGGGTCAACGAGAACACGGACACAGAGTGGCATGGCTGGTTTCCAGGTGTCACGGGGTGGTTGACCCTGTGTGAGACCCACGGACTCAGGAGCTCTGCTTCTCCAGTGGAGGAGCTGCGGTTTGTGGGCCCGGCTGCCTGAGGCAGAAAGTATACGTAACTCCTTTGTTTCTGTTCACAGCAACGAGCCCCAGGGAAGGTGCTGCTTGATGCTGTCTGCAACCACCTCAACCTTGTGGAGGGTGACTACTTTGGCCTGGAGTTTCCTGACCATAAAAAGATCACGGTAGGAGATGTGGGGACACCAGCTTACTGTCACCACTTCCCCATCTTTTCACCTTGCTGGGAGAGGAGGGTGGGCTGCTACCTCTCCCTGGCCATGCAGAAGTAAACAGAGGAAAACACCCAGAAAGCCCTCATTTATTATTTTAAGTATATATTTGATAAAATATCATTCAAAATTTCTAATAAAAGTAATTTGTGCATTGGACCAGCTATTTCAGTGAAGATTCCCTCCCTCCACCTTGTGTCTCCACCTCTTTTTCCAGGAATCACCATGACCTTGTGAATACATGTTCTTTTGTATCTAAGCACGTGTTTGTTGAGGATATGTATGCAGACACTTTGCAATATGCTGTTACAGTGCTGTCTTCTTTCTCTGTCACTCGAGGAAATCTTCCAGCCAGTCCTCTTCTTTTTCACAGCCTCCGTATCATCTACAACTTGTGTTGTAAATGATGCCCTCTGATTTTTCCCTTCCTCCCCCTCCTCCTCTTCCTCCTCCTCCTTCTCCTCCTCCTCCTTTCCTCCTCCTCCTCTCCTCCTCCTCCCCTCCTCCTCCTCCTCCCCCCTCCTCTCCTCCTCCCCTCCTCTTCCTCCTCTTCCTTCTCCTCCTCCTCCTCCTCCTCCCCCCTCCTCTCCTCCTCCCCTCCTCTTCCTCCTCTTCCTTCTCCTCCTCCTCCTCCTCCTCCCCCCTCCTCTCCTCCTCCCCTCCTCTTCCTCCTCTTCCTTCTCCTCCTCCTCCTCCTCCTCCCCCCTCCTCTCCTCCTCCCCTCCTCTTCCTCCTCTTCCTTCTCCTCCTCCTCCTCCTCCTCCCCCCTCCTCTCCTCCTCCCCTCCTCTTCCTCCTCTTCCTTCTCCTCCTCCTCCTCCTCCTCCCCCCTCCTCTCCTCCTCCCCTCCTCTTCCTCCTCTTCCTTCTCCTCCTCCTCCTCCTCCTCCCCCCTCCTCTCCTCCTCCCCTCCTCTTCCTCCTCTTCCTTCTCCTCCTCCTCCTCCTCCTCCCCCCTCCTCTCCTCCTCCCCTCCTCTTCCTCCTCTTCCTTCTCCTCCTCCTCCTCCTCCTCCCCCCTCCTCTCCTCCTCCCCTCCTCTTCCTCCTCTTCCTTCTCCTCCTCCTCCTCCTCCTCCCCCCTCCTCTCCTCCTCCCCTCCTCTTCCTCCTCTTCCTTCTCCTCCTCCTCCTCCTCCTCCCCCCTCCTCTCCTCCTCCCCTCCTCTTCCTCCTCTTCCTTCTCCTCCTCCTCCTCCTCCTCCCCCCTCCTCTCCTCCTCCCCTCCTCTTCCTCCTCTTCCTTCTCCTCCTCCTCCTCCTCCTCCCCCCTCCTCTCCTCCTCCCCTCCTCTTCCTCCTCTTCCTTCTCCTCCTCCTCCTCCTCCTCCCCCCTCCTCTCCTCCTCCCCTCCTCTTCCTCCCCCTCCTTCTTCCCCACCTCCTCTTTCCCCCTCCTCCCCCTCCCTCCTCCTTCCCCTCTTCTTCCTCCTCTCCCTCTTCTTCTAATACTAACAATGCCAGAGTGAACTATAAAGGTGTCTGTAGTTCAAAGCCAAAGGTACAACATCACCATTGAATATTTCAAAGTTGTAAAATATGTCAGACTGTCCTTTTAAAAGGTTTCACCATTTTGAACCCAAAACTTAGAACCCAGCCTCCTTATCTCTTGGTTGATGGCCTGTTATAAAGCCTGTTTCCTAGTCCACCTCCCAATTAGTCACTATTTTAGACAGTGAGCCCAGTGGCTGTGTTCCTTCATTTCATACCCACTAAGCACACAGAGCTCATAGTCTCTCTTCTGGCAATCCAATAATGTAAATAATACAGAGAACCTGTAAGCCAGCTTGAGTCAGAGGACAATACAGGGCATATGCCAGGTCTCTGTGGTGCCAGGGGGCTTTGGGCAGTGGGGACAACAAGCATTGTGTTCAGGACATCCTTCCCCAATATGACAAAACTGAGTTCCAAGACTAATAAGAGCTGACTTAATAGAATGTGCCATATACAAAGACCAGGAAGCAACTGGGCCATTCCTGGAGTCTGCAAAGAGGAGCAGGCTAGAGGGGTGTAGAGGAAGAGGGCAGCGCTGAAGACAAGCAGTAGGATGAGGTTGAAAGCTAAGTGAGGGCACAGATGGCCAAGGGTTTTCTACACTGCTGCTGTCCTGTAGAACATTCACTTTTTAAGATGGGTTCTCATATAGCCCACACTGACCTTAAACTTAATATGTATCAAGGTTGGCCTTGAACTCCTGATCCTTCTATCTATACCACTTCCTGAGTTCTAGAATTATAGGCATTTGCCATCATGCCCAACTCCATGTACATAGTTTAACTGTTCTCATAGTTTACAAAAGTTTAAAACAAATTGGGGAAAGTTAACTTTAAGATATATTTTATTTATGCATTTATTTCCAAATATTATAATTTTAATACATAAGTCATAGAAAATTATGAATAAGTTAATTCTCATATTATTTTACTGTAGCCAGTCATCAAATCCCACATATGTATTTGACACCAACCCCTCTGGTTTGGCCTGGCCATGCCTGCAGTGCTCAGGAGTGATCACTTTGGACTGCCAGGGCCATGCCAAGATGCTGGCTTGGGCAACTGGTGGTACATTTGTAAGTGAGTATGTGACATGATTTGACTGCTGTGTTAGAAAGGCCACTGCATCTGATTGGAGTAAGAGGCTGGGCTCGGGAAAGCCATCATGTTTTATCTACCTGTTCCCTCATCTAGACCTGCTGCATTAGCATTGCCTGGAACTGCGGCAGCTTAGGATCTGGGACATTGTGAGTGGGCTCTGGAGTCTGAGGGATGGGACCATGTGAGGCAGAGGGTAAAGCAATGAGGGGAGTAATGAGGGGAAAGGGCTCTCAGAGTGACTCAGTTTCCAGACTCTCTGAGCTGAGTAGCTAACAGTGCCTGTTGGTAGAGAAGGAGAGCCTGGGGAAAGACCAGACTGGGGTAGATGACAAGTCCCATTCTGACATGTGCAGGGCTGCATTCATGGGCATGTTGATGGAGGTGTCCATTCAGCAAGACTAGAGGATGAATTTCTGAGAACACGGGGGAAGAGACCTGAGCAGAAATTTGGAGTCTAGAAAACTGATTATTTTAAATATCAGTTGAAGCTTGGAAAGTGAATTAAGAACAGAAGGTGAAGAAAGGGGATTGGGATGGAATTGCACATCGAAGGAACAGACAGCAAAGGCAGAGCCCTCCTAGTGAGTTGGAAAGCAAGAGATGGCAGGGTCCAGCTCAAGAGAGAAAATCCCAAGAAGCAGGCAAGAGGGGAGCCACTGACTCCTGTCCCCAGCTGTGCCAGCTGCACCCAGAGCCCATGGCACTTGAACAGTGAACCTAAAAACAAGAACAGCTTATGTTTTATCTACCTGTCATACATAGTCATTTCCTTCATCCTTTCCTTACGTCCATAGCTCATGCTGTCATTTTCTAGTCTGAGCCCTGATTATAAGCTTCCTTGACCCAGTTCTGTCCCTGATGTGGCAGAGGACCACAGACCTGCCAAATCTAAGTTCACATTCACCCAACAGATTTGTATCTCTGCTGTGTCCCAGCTACAAAAGAAAGGAGAGATGATGAAGTGTCAGATGGCAAGAGGTCCCTAGAGTTCCTATTCATTAGGGGTACACAGCTTAGGAAGAGAGCCTAGGAAACAACTGATTACCATGTAGGTTCAAGCATTGTTGTTGGATGGAGCATTGTTTCATATACTCGTTTTATATTAAAATCATGGCTCTCTAAAACCTGAAGACGTGTTATCTCATTATTTCTAACAAGCCTGCTGAGCACTTGCCCTAATTGGGGCACACTCCTAATGGCTGTCCTGTTCCCGGACTTGGTTGTGCACTCCTAATGCTGTCTTGTTCTCAGGCTCGACTGACTCCCATCCAGCCAGAGCTGCCTTCGACAACAGAAGTCAGTGCTGGACCTCTGCAGCTGAGGGCACTGAGATTCTGGGAATAGTTCCGTACTAGGTCTATCTCTTAGCTAATGGGCAAGCAAGAGTTCCAGCTGTACCCTTCAGTCTCCAAATTCAGTGTCTTTCTATTTAATCAGAGGAGTTTCTTTCAGCTAGGCTTAACGACTTCTTTCAGGGGCTTGTAAGTCTTTATTTTTATGATCCAAGATATTCCCCAGGAATGGATACAACTACAAGAACAAAACAAAACTATCAGTGATAATTTAAAGGCATAGGTGCTTATTTTTTACATGTTAATGAAAATAAAACTATGGGGTAGGGTGTATGACTCAGTGATAGCATACATGTAGGCTATGGATTTGATCCCTGGCCCCCTTGCCCCCCCTCCAAATAAAGCCTATGCTATAAAATGCATAAGCCATTGTCTGTGTACTTACCATGTACCACCATGTTCTGGCACAACAGCGCATAGGACCCATTCATTCTCATCATGGAGGTTACACTAGAGTAAGGATCAACAAACTTTTCTTTTTGGGGGGAACAGGTCAAATAGGAAAAATATTATATATAAACTCTGCAGGTTGTGATGTCTCTGCTGTGATTTGTGAAAATCTGTTGTTGTGGAGGAAAAACAGCCTAAACAATATGTAAAGGAATGGGTGTGGATCTATTCCAATAAAACTTTATTTGTAGCTGGGTGTGGTGGTGCATGCCTTTAATCCCAGAGCTCAGGAGGCAGAGGCATGTGGATCTCTGTAAAATCAAGGCCAGCCTGATCAACAAAGCGAGTTCCAGGCCAGCTGGGGATATAGGGAGAGCCTGTCTCAAAGAAAATGACAAACAAAAACTTTATCAAGCCAGAAGCAGTAGTTTGCAAGTACCTGCTGTAAGGAGTGGTAAACTATGCCTGGAGTTCAGTATTTTATCAGTTCCTACAAAGGCCTGCTCTGTCTCCTTGTTTTAATGTGGAGGCTCAGACTTAAGGAAGTTAAATCATTTTTGCAAAGGCACTCAGGAAGTGGTAGAAGGAAGATTCTACTTCCGTCTCACAAGCTTGTATTCCCAGTTATC